GTCTGGAGTGCAGCCTTCATCATGCGTACGCTTGTGCAACGGGGTTCAGTGGATCTCACCTTGTCGGATGGCCAAGTGATCTCTGGCCCGTTACATGATTTTTGGAAGTCAGGTGCTGGGCGGTCTCGACCTCGCTTGAAGACGGTGGATTTGAAAGCGGCTTATAAGCAGCTACCTTTAAACCCTGCAGATCATCGCTTCTGCGTCGTAACGGTCAAGCGACCATCGGACGGCAAGGTTGTGGGCTATGTGTCCAAGGTGCTCCCCTTCGGGGCCTGTGCAAGTGTCAATGCCTTTAACAGGGTCGCTCGCCTGCTTCAACGGATCATGCAAGAGGCACTTGTTATGGGCTACAATTATTTTGACGATTACCCTATTCTTGAGATGTCAAGCTTGACCTCGAGTTGCGACAATGTGGTGCACTCTATTTTGTCGTTGCTTGGATTCGAGTGTTCGCTTGAAAAGGAGTCTGATTTCGACTTGAAGGCCGACCTTTTGGGAGTGACTGTGGATCTCTCTGATGATGCACTGGCGGAGGTTCGAGTCTCCAACAAGGAAAGCAGATGTGCTGAGGTCGCGGCATCCGTTGATCAGGTTCTTGATCGAGGATCGCTGCGGGCGCATGAGGTTGCTTCGCTTTTCGGGCGGATACAATTTATGGAAGGTCAGCTGCTTGGTCGCATGGGCCGTTTGGCGCTTGCGGAGCTTAGGTCGCTGGGTACTTCTGGCGGCTACTTGAAGCTCGGCTCGACAGAACGTCGAGCCTTTGTAAACCTTCGTGAAAGGATGCTGCATGGGCCACCGCGGTCGATTACCACCAGGCCTGTTGGTTTCAACGTGGTGGTCTTCACCGATGGCGCCTGTGAACCAGAGGGTGATAGCATGCGCTGCTCCATCGGGGGGGTGATGTATGTTGAGAGCTCTGGTTCATGGTCTACCCGATATTTTGGATGCCGACTGTCAGATGCACTTGTTTCAGACTGGAGCAAATCTGGCAAAAAGCACTTAATCGGTCCCGTCGAGCTTTTTGCAGTTGTGACAGCCCGACGTTGCTGGAGGAGATTTCTTGATGGAGCCAGAGCTCTGTTTTTCATCGACCACTCGGGTGTGCATGCTGCTTGTGTGAACGGCTCTTCCCATGATAAGCTCTGGCGGGGACTTCTTTTGAAGCTTGAATCTGCCGATGCTTTTCCTATGATCGGCTGGTATGCCAGAGTGCCTAGCCAAAGCAACCCGTCCGATGCCCCGTCTAGGGGCTCGTGCAACTTCCCGGTTTGGGGTACTGTCATGAGGGATCATCCACTTTGCTGCTTTTCCGATGCGCCTTTGAGCCCTTTGGATGAGATGGGGGATTGATGTTCG